ACACAAAATGTTTGCGTTTTCTAGAAACTTTATAAGAAATAATTTTCATGTACTTGTAAATCTAATAGTGCTAAGAAATTGCCGCTAATGTAAATATTGACAACATGAGAGGCTCGTCATAAAAATTAAATTTTTGTAATTGTTCAAAAAAATAAGTCATGAGGAAAATGGTGTTTATGTCATCTCATCAAGTACATTTAACACTTTCCCCATCAAATGTTTAAAGAATAAATTTTGAGCAGTTTTTCAGAATCTCTTTTCTATTTTGTTATATTTTAAAATTGCTAAACTGTTCAGCAATTTCCTCCAAAATTTATATTTTCCAATTGATCTGGCTGATGACCCCTTGAATTTGAAACATATTTTAATTGAGGGGGGGGGGGCTACTTTACATAAAACCACTGGGACATTTTCCAAATTTTCAAAAAAATGAACAAACTATTGTTTTAGATGAAATTTTGTTGTAGGATAGAGTGAAGGACATTTAAGAAAATGGTGCAGGTCTCATGTCGGTTCAAAACTCTGAATTTTCGAAAACTGAAAAAGTCAACTTTTTCAGTCATGAAAAGTCAACAAACTTTTTTCAGCATCTTCCTTACAACTATAATTACAAAGACAATTTGTTTTCTTCTTAATGAAATGTGTTTATGAAAAAGAGATCTAAAAATAATGTCACATTCAATTTTTCAAAATCATGAATATATTTTGCAAAATTTGGTATCAAACATAGGTAGTTTTTATTTTCTGTAAACCTTTTTTTTTATAAACAGACATTTTTTTATGAAATTGACATCTTAGATAGCATAATAGATGCTTAAGGGAATGATGCAGGTCTCCTGTTCTTTGAAAAGCCTTATTTTTCAAAATTAAAAAAAAAAATTAAAATTTTGTCTACTTGCTACCATTGCTGCCATATATATTTCGTGGCAGGAATCTTGATGATGCTGTTACTCTTTATGCTCAATGTTTTCCAGACAGGGCAGGATCACGCCTCATTTCACCGGGTTGTTCAACAGTTCTCTACCAAGGGAAGTGTTCAGAAAAAAAAATATATTAATAATAATAATAATAATAATAATAATAATAATAATAATAATAGTTAAAAAGAAAGCTCCGAAGAATTTGAACTTTCTTCATAAATTAACACAAAAAAATTGTGCTCCCAATCGTTGCAGACTAGAAACTGAAGAATGTGTAGTATCCAATGGAAGCAGAACATACACTGAGAACCAAAGAGCACACAATGGAAGTAGACCAAGGAGTGAAGATACAAAGTTCAAGAAATGGTTGTTGGACTTTTCGGCGTACACAAGACGCAATCGATTTTCGATAATGTCATCTTGCAATGTTTGTTCAATTGTTTATGTTTAAAAACTTAACAAATTTTCAAAACTTAGCCACCATGAAGCAAGAAGATCTTGGAAGAGGGATCTCCCTTTTTGAGCCCTATTTCCTTCACTTTTGAATGTTGTTAACAATGTTATAGCAATTTGAAATTTGTTCCTTTTGAACTGTAAAAGTTACCCCCCCCCTGCTCTCTACCTGAGGATGGGGGACGCTCACTCTTATCAATACTAGATACGATTCTTAAAAACACCCCCTGTTTTTTCACCCCCTGGTGCAATTTTACCAGAATTGCGAAAAATTGTTATATCTACCATTACAGCGCCGTGTATTGAAAAAAAAAAAATGTTTCAAACAAAATTACTTATTTTTTTCCTCCCTCGGAGAATCCGAATCCGCTATCAAAAATAGGGGTTCCCATTTGATATTTGCAAGTTGCCCCACCCCCACCCCCAGGGGGTGGAGATTGGTGTCAGGCCTCTCGGAGACAAACAAATTTTATTCTAAACATTTTTTGATATGTTTCTTAATTTTCAAGATATGTAGTTGTCCCAAGATTTAAAAAAATCACTATCTCTTGCTCTCGCTCCCTCCCCTTCCCCTTCTGCGCCATTGCGTCACCCACCCGATTGTTGTGGGCCCTCTTGTCGGCGCGCCGGCACGGCCAGGCCAGGCGGCGTGCGGCCAGCCCCGGCGGAGCAGGAGGGACTTGTGGGATACACCAGCCAGACAGTCGCTATATGCTTTCGTCACTTTGCATCTCAATCTGTTTTTCCACTGATACCAAACTAGAGATGCTATACTACTATTCCAGACCGAGGTAAACGGTCTGTAATAGTAGTACATAACTATATTTTTCACATATGTCCGTCTTCCTTCTAATACGTTTTAAAATTGAGGCATTACTCAAAATATCGATTCCGAATTGGAACTTTTTTTTTAAAGGAACTAATTCTGTAAATATCACCATTATTTCATCTTCTCATATCTTATTTTAGATACATTTTACTTCTAAGGTCTTCTGTTATCATTCTACCTTGCTCTAAGATCTTCTATTGTCAAATACCGGAAAGAATGAGCGGAGTATATGCACGAGCTCTTTTATTCTACAACTCGATTTTTGATCTCAAAACGCAGTTTATCTGCTTTAAAGAGTTCATCTGGTGAATCTCTTTTCCCAAGTAAAATAGCCGAAGCTAATTTTAAAAATTATTTCGTACTTTCGGACAAATTTTAAAAAGGTCATGATCTTAGCTGCCCGGGTGACGCCGCGTCGAAGGCTGTGTTGCCGACGTTTCGACCACCTTGTCGTGGTCTTCCTCAGGGCTGGTATGCCATGGCATACCAGCCCTGAATGTATGGTCATACCAGCGAGGCGTTTTCCTAAATTTCACTTTACGACGCTCCTATTCGTCCGATTTGCATGATTGTCACGGCGTTGGATTCAGGAAGCATGTCGACATCGCGCTATAAGCCCACTTTTTTTTTTCTCGGAAGTTCGAGAACTAATTTCAAGTTCGAATTTTTGCTAGATTTTTGGAAAAAGAGCTTCGTAGCGTAAATTCTATTTGCAAAAGGCGTCAAATGCCGTTTGCAGATCGAAAATCGGACCATTGGTTCAGACGTTACCATTAAATTTTACTTATTTTGGTGCTGCCATGTGGTACAAATTGTACTAGTGGCGGGACATTTAGCCTTAATTTAGCAACTGGATCTCTGCACTTATTCGTTGTCACGGCCTGGCAATAGTTTTTCTGCCAATAATTCACCTTTTTTCGCGCATTATATAATTTTGTCTACTGTTTGAGCAGTAGAGAAGAAAGTAAAAGAAGAATTACACATTAAGCAAGCCCAATTTGAAATGAAAATGAAATTAAAAAATTGAAAGAAAAATTATGAAAAAGATGTTTAATAAGGATCACTGGTTTTTTTATTATTTTCAAAGATGATTTAAGGAAATTATAATTTATTTTGTTTATGAAATATTACACAATATATGTTTTATATATATAT